ATAATTTCAACCTTAGCCACAGCTGTGCAGTTTTTGAGAAAGTGGGACAAAATCTCATCTTGTGTATCATGTCTATTTTAGTTTTCTGTTTCCAGACAACACCTTCATTTTGTTTACTCTTGTAAATTTCCTTTATCTGCCACGTCCCAAAACAGGACATGAAGGTGCACGTTTAATCTATCCATAAATTTCATCGTGTCTCACCTCATCATATAGCTACTTGTTGACCTTGTCCTACTTGGTGAAGGACAAATGAAGCCTTGCTGTGTTCAGGGTGAACACGCAGGAAGAGTCCCCATACAGAGAGACACACAGCTGGCGTTGTTGGATTTTGAAAAGATGTCTTTGAGGCTGTTAAAGTTAGAGTGCTGAATTAATTCCCCAGTGGTATTTATTGACACACAAAGATTGTTATTGCCATTGTTAGCAAATCATTAAATTCTAAAAATGGAGACTTCTATTCATTTCAGAAATCCCTAATGCTTTACACCAGTTTGAGTCTCAGGTGATAGAAAGATAACTTCACTACAGCGTGCAATAAGACACACATTTTCTTCAATTTTGCTGCTGCAATCTTTGCATAAATCCAATGGGGGGAGGGGGATTTGTGCAAAGATTGCAGCTGTGTTCATCACCTTGGCTACTAATGCCAATGTTCATAAAAGGTTGAATTCATGGTGGACTCAGAATACGCATTGAGTTGTAACACAGCACATAATTGCACACTTCTGTTTGAATATACCAGATTGCATTAGTTATGCACAATTTTTGCATGTATGTGGAAATAATGCAGTAAAGGCCAAAATGCATTGTTGTTCACTGTTGCTGTCACTGGCTTTAATGACTTCTTTGGTCTAGAAAATGTGACTTTTGTGTTGCACAATGTTTCTTAGACAATGTAATTGTTGGTACCGTGCTTATTTATAAGGAAAATGTCTGGGAGGTGTTGCATTAGGCTGATTTTTCTGAGAAATGTGGACTGCACATGCAATTATAGTTGATAAAATTATGTTGCAAGAATTGTGTGTGCATAATCTGAGTGAAATTCAAGAGTCTGTCTTTTGTTAACCTGCTTTATATCCAATTCAGGGGCATTTCAATGGGATTTTTGAACTCGTTTTGCCTCATGTTTTGACAGTTGTATGGAAAAGACTGCACAGCTGATGGTAGCCCAGTGAACTCCCAAACTCATTAGAAGAGCCTTGGGCACAAGCCATCAAGTGTATAATTATAAAACCTTAAGTTAATTAGGAACAAGCTGCTTTATGTCTTCTACATTATTTAGTCCATATGCTAGTAATTGGCTATAATATGAAAAAGGCAATAAAGTAGGTTTTAACATTAAAACAGGGATAAGAAACGTAGAAAGAAGTTTAATTAGTTCACTTTTATGACCTGTTGAATCAGAGGATTAGGCGTGTGGGTGGATCAATATTTAGCAAGTGTGTTTTCACCCCTCACGGGCCTTTTTAACTAGATATGGCAGTACAGCAAGCAATGTTAAATATAATTCCTCATGAGGAGTGGATCATAATGGCTAGCCATAATGACAAAGAGATCATAAGGAGTGAAGTGTCTGGATGAATAGAAATACACAGCCCCTATCAGCAGTGGCCTTGTGTCAGCGAAGATGAAGTGGCAAGACGTGTGAGTATGCATACTGGGTATCAGGCGGATCAAATTTGCGCAAACAGTTGGTGGATCCTTGGCGGACAGCTCTTCTGCTCTCACCTGAGCACCTGAAAAACTACCACCTAAAGAAATTTCTCATGTCTCAAAACTGTTTCCTATTAACCTGTTAAAAAAGTTATCTCATGGTTTAACACACACGTTATCTCTACCAACTAGCTTGTACCCTGTCTGGCCAACCATTTAAACCTGGTCATGCAGCACTTCTAATATTGCTGATATGATATGGTTGATATGTTTTTTTTGCTTGTTTGTACTCTGCCTCACTTTTAAGTCACGTTAGATAAAAGCATCTGCCAAAAGAATAAATGTAAATGTAATTATGATGTAATGGATTTGAAACAAAACGACACATTTCTTTTTTTTGGTTTTTACCCCGTGGGTGGGGTTTGGTGTTATCCTTTTCATTACTCGAATCTGAATTTGTGACACACGCATATTAAAAAAGAATTTTGCCCAGAAATGTGATGTTTTTTATGTATGTGGAATGTTTTTATTTGTCTTGCCACAACCTCCACACTGTTATTGTATAGGTATTGAAGAAAAAGTAAATTCACTTGCATGTCTTTGTTGAAAGTGTGTGACAAAAAGTCTTGTGAATTGAAGAGCACCGTTTGTGTGATTTGTCAAACAAATTAAAAAAAGAAAGGGACCTTCAAAATTGTGGTATGTGGAATGCAGGTGTCTAGAAGCTGACGTGTCGTCAGTAGAAAAGGCAGGATTGGAACATGTTCAAGCCAGTTCAAGTTCAGTAATGACTGCAATTAAAAATAGGCAGATCTGTGCTTCGTGTCCAGCATGATAATGATCCTGTTATAACTTGAAGAAGGCTTGAAATTGCTTTTCTTGTTGTACAGGAGTTTGAAACCGTAATAGAATGGATGACACTTAATCTTATTAATCTTATTTACACATCTTTACATGTAAATAATGCCCAGTAACAAGGCATCATTCACATTTATGATACCTTGACATTTGTAAAGTAAATAAGTCTAACGTTCCATCAGTTATTGCAATAATTATTTACAGCATGCTCCATATTTATTCATGCCCCTAATTATATTTAAAACTCAATTTAACAGAAACATTTTCTGGAATAAAATGATTTTGTGAACAATATGACTTTGTTCTGTGCAATGCCATTAAGATCCAATGCCATTTTTAAGCAGAAAAAAAATCTGTTATAGCATTGTTTTGTTTTGTTCCTATTTGGGGTTAGAAGTAAATACAGAGGGTATTGTATATAGTATGACAGAGCACTCTATGCACAGGTAACATTCAGCACACAGCAGAACCTGGCTACACATATGTGACCCACACATTTGCAAAGCTTATACATCACCAGGTATCATCTGCTGTGAGTTGGTCTAATGGAGGAGAGTATCCCTTTCTGGCACAGGAGTGCCCCAGCCATTCACCCAGCAGTACCAGCAAGGTAAATTAAACTGCACTAGATTGAGAATATTGATTAATGGAAAGTTGCCATAATCTTTATCCTACCTGTTCCCTCTGCAAAAAGGCATGACGTGGTTTTAGACATTGGCTTCTATTGAGGCTAATCTCAGTGTGTGTTGTCCTTAATTTTTAGTTACAAATTGAAGCAATTATTGCATTATTCATTTTTTTCACACAAAAATGAGTTTTGCATAATTTACAGTACGCACGTTTCACAGAACGAACGAAACAGCTGCTTAAAGTTGTTGCTCACAGCTCTCCTTGAACATAAGCCTTAATTTCCTGAAATGTATATATATTTTTTTCTATTTAGTGGCTCAGGGCTGGAAACAGAAAGTGGAGTGCTGGAGCACATCAGTTCAAGTGCTGGAACAGTGCACCTCTTTGCATGAGTGATGATCCCCGGTCCCCTGAAACCTCCCAGTCTCTCGTGTGGGCGAGAACGTGTGCACCTTTCGCTCCCTTCAGGAGTTAAAGCCTCAGAACTGGATCATTATTCATGAATGAGCCCTGGAGCACCTGCGTCCCCTCCCACATTCCTGCCAACACGTGTATTCCAAATGGTTTTGTCACATCATGGCAATGGCCTGTTCACGCTGTTTTCGATGCTGCATTGATGCAGTTATTCATATCAGATGTTGTTTTTTGCACCTCAGAACTGAGGGAAAAAAAAGCATGTTACAGACTAAATCTGATTGAATCTTGGCCTAATAGTTAATGTGGGTCACGCAATCTCAAATTACGGTATGTTCCATATTTTCACAGAACCTTTGGTGAATGGTATTTAGTCACTCTATTGCATTCAGTTGTAGCAGTTGACATGTTGACCACAGTAGGTGAAAGTATGTTTTCTTTCCCTCAAATTTGTAATTAGTGACAGTGAGAAATAAAATGAGGAGATAAATACAAATTAATTTGGTTAATTTTAATGCACTTTCAACACACATTACCTCTTTGATGTTAGTGTTTCCCTTGTATTCCTGGGAGAAAAATGTGTCACACTTCCCATTTATAATTTAGACATTTACAAATGACCTGAAAAATATTCCATCCAGTAACAGAGATCTATTTTGCAATAATGTGATTGTCTATTTATAACACGTGGCGCTTCTGTTGGATTACAGGGGAAGGGTCTTGTGCTTACTGAAGTGAATAATGTCTCTCTGCAGTGAATTTCTGTGTTTAATTTGTCAGTGATTTAGAAATACTTCTCACTCATCCTCCTATGGAAAATAGATTTGCTTCAGCATCTCTATTAAAACTCTGCAATGCCACCCTCAGCTATTAGGAAGTGTGAGTTATTTTAGCCTGAAAAGGACATAGATTCATGCTTTTACAATATAGTCTCACACAGAAAATGAACACTATTCTGCTTGTAGTCATTAATCAATGATGAATCAGTGATTAAAATGTTCTTCTTTGAATGCCAAGTGATGCCAGAGAAATGAATACAGTTTGTTCAAACTACAGGCTCAAAGTTAATGGAAAATACATTTAAAACAGCTGCTTTAATTTTGTCACAGCAGAGTCAATATTAGTTGTTTACTGGAGAGTTCTGGAGACAAACAATGACAGAAATATACTTCTGAAGATCATCCCTTTCTTTGGCAGAGAACATGCAGTAAAATTTAAATATAAACATAGCTTACTTTCTTGGAGAAAATGACTGATACTAAACCAATGAATAATAACCCTTTTAAACATCCTAAGTGATAACAATGTGTCAGAAAACATCATTTGCACTGCTTTTGGCATGACTGATTCAACAGCACTTCTTATGTGGTCAATATCACACATTTTCAAACTATAAATGTTGTTATTTTTCTGGTGTCTATGATATTATTTTGTATACAAGAGGGGAATTAGCTCAAATGGTAGAGCACTTGTTTAGCATGTGAGGGGTAGAGGGATCGATGCCCTCATTCTCCAGCACTGATCAAGAAGGAAATTGTTTCTGAGGAGCAGGAGTGTGGCATAGTGGTAAGGAGCAGGGCTTGTAACTTAAAGGTTGCTGGTTTGATTCTCTGCTGGGGCACTGCTGTTTTATCCTTGGGCAAGGTACTTAACCCAGAATTGCCTCAGTAAATGTTCAGCTGTATAAATGGATAACATGTAAAACTGTAATCTGTGTAAATCAGTCTGGATAAGAACGGTTGCTTAATGACAAAAATGTAATGTGCTTCCAGCATAATGAATAAAGGTATTCACAAGCAGATTAGATTCCGTTCAAATGCAGCGAAGGCATGCAATGTGTTGACCTTCTTTGTATTTTCAGTAAACCTATTTCATAGAACATTCATGTTTGAATGTACTTCAGAGCTCAAGTGCTTCTTAGAAGGCTACATTTAAAGAGCATTAATGATATTTATTCAAACGATTGAGTAGGGTTGGGCGATGTCTACCAAATTTGCATATGACGATGTTTTTTGGATATTCACTTTCAGTACAGTATTCAATAAATTACATGAGATATTCAACACTTTATTATAAAATAGGCTTTGTGTTAGATGATTTTGCCCAACTGTGGGCTAATGTAAGTGTTCTGAGCATGTTTAAGGTAGGCTAAGCTAAGCTATGATGTTCGGTAAGTTAGATGTATTAAATGTATTTTCGACTTACGATATTTTCAATTTACGATGGGTTTATCAGGACATAACCCCATCGTAAGTCGAGGAGCATCAAATAAGCTGTTTTTCCTTTAAATCGGACACAAGGAACTAATATAATAATTAGGTTATAGCAGAGACATTGGAATTACAGTGTGTGTGTGGCAGGGTGCACCCCGCTGTCTGTGTGGACCGGGGGGAGTTGAAATCACAATGCCGGCTCATCATTGTGATGTCTCTCAGCCATCGGCGATGGACGATGGTATTGTCCATCGGCGCATCCCCACTATTGTAGGGCTGGGCGGTATGGCCTAAAATTTATGTCACAGTATAATTTGAAGCACGGACAGTAACGGTATGTATCACAGTATATTCGTTTTTCTTAAAATTTCAATATAAATGCTTCTGAAGGGGTAAAGCACTGGTATGGCAACTGCATGGCAGCTATTACTGTACTCTTAACTGTATTACTAAGACATATTTCACATAGTACAGAGGTATTTTAAGATCATTTATTGTGCAAAACTGCAACAATAAATAGAAAAAAATACAAAGCCTTTTCTCAAGTAACTTCCATCTCTGAAAAACACTTTTTCATGAAATACAATAAAATCAAGCTGCACAAAGTGAAAATAAAAACTGACTCGGGGATTAAAGTTCTCTGTCGCTACGACGGATTTCCGTCAATTGGATTACAGAGAGGCCATGTATGAGATCAGTGTAGATCCGAAGGAAAAAAAAAAACGAGGGGGGTGTTACGGGACTTAGAAATCATGCTACCAGGTGATAGGTAGCTGATTTGTATGTATGATTTGTATGTATGTATGTATTGTTGTGGAGAAATACTGTATGTTTAAGCATTACTACTGAAATATATATTAAATATGATGTGATTCTCTGTGATTCTAAGCAAGGGGTTAATTGGAGACATTCTTGGGAGGCCAGTGCAGGATAGTGTGTGACCTTCAGGGAGGCACACTGCCAGAACAGCACATTGTGATATTTAACCCTTTTTAAAAAATCATACAGGCCTAGGCCTGGAAATAATAGTATTTTCCAGACATGCATATTTTAGAAGTAGATAGAATGATAATCACATACTTTTATACTTTTTAAAAAATCATTCAAGGGCAGGCTTGGAAATAATGGGAAATTCCAGATGCATTATGTTAAAAAATAAAATACAATAACTAACAATGGGGTTTATGGGACTTTCCAGGTTCGGGAAATGTAACAGCTCGAAAGATAATGGTGTATCAACTGGGGATGGCGTGATGTTGAAGGTGGAGCCTGGGAGTTGGAAATTAGGCTCCAGTCTAGGAGGAGTTGGGGAAACAGCATAAAAGCAGGATGCAGGCCAGGGGGTTTAGAATGAGTGGGGAAGTGCCTGTGAATACATGTACACCTGTTGCTCCGCGGACCAACCTGGTTTATTGTATGTGACTGATCACCATATGCAATAGACAAACAACCATAGTTACATCAGACTCTGTGGACTTATTATTTTCTGGAAAGTGTGGAGGAAGACCCTCGGTTCATCTGGCCCAGACCTGGGGGATATCCGCCACAGTATGTATGTATATATATATAGCCCATATATATTGTATAGCCCATCGAAACAATTGGAGACAATAATATAGTCCCACGGTGTATTGAAGTAGGCTAATCAATTAATCACGTCTCTGTCGGACGCACGCACATTCAACTTTAGTCTACACACAGGCCGACTTTGGATTAACACCAAAATATATATTTATAAGCGTGACAAAATACCTCAAATGCTAAGATGGCGGCGCGTACGGATGCAGCGGCTCGTGGCTCTCCACTACTGTGCACTCTTTTGTGTTTTTACTTGCTGTTTGTTTTGTTTTGTCATGGAAACATGATGTACAGTCCTCAGGAATTGATAGGCATTGGACTTCAGTTTAACACCGAAGTCACAAGCACCTTCACACGGACTCGTAACATCCCACTGGAGTTAGCGAGACTGCCGGGAGCTCCGTGGATTGTTGTCGGGCCCTGCAGGCGACGGAGGCGGCGCAGAGAGAGGAAGCAAAAGCGGGGGTGCAGAGCGGGACTGCTAGCTCAGCTAAGGAAGCAACCGCGCAAACCTCCGTTACCATCTATCTTCCTCACAAACGCCAGATCCCTCGCAAACAAAATGGATGAGCTACAGTCACAGATTGCCTACAACTGCCTCATCCGTGAGTGTTGTCTGATGATTGTGTCGGAATCCTGGCTGCACCCGCAAATCCCAGACGCTATGGTGGAGCTAGCAGGAAGGACCATCCATCGCCACAACCGGAACAAAGCCTCCGGTAAGAGCAAAGGAGGGGGACTTTGTGTTTACGTGCATGAGGGTTGGTGTTCAAACAGCAAAATAATAGACAGCCACTGCTCACCGGACCTAGAGGCCATGTCTGTCCAGTGCAGACCGTTCTATCTGCCACGGGAGCTAACTGTAGTCATTGTCACTGCTGTTTATATCGCGCTGGATGCTAACATCAGCACGGCGCTCGGACATCTTCAATGCATCGTAAACAAACAACAGAGGGCTCATCCCGACGGCGTCCACATAATCGCCGGGGATTTCAACCAAGCATGCTTAAAGACTGTGCTCCCAAACTCCACCAGCATGTCAAGTGTCCTACTAGGGGGAAATACATGATCATGTCTATACCAACATTAAGCATGCTTACAGAGCGACGCCCCTCCCCCACCTAGGACAATCCGACCATCTCTCTCTGCTCCTCATCCCGGCCTACACCCCCCTCAGAAAGCAAACAAAACCGAGCACACAAATCATCAGGACCTGGCCTGAAAATGCTCTCCCTCAGCTACAGGACTGTTTTGCTTGTACAGAATGGAGCATCTTTGAACAGCAGGACCTGGAGGCACACACAGAGACTGTGCTTTTCTACATAAAGAGCTGTGTAGAAAATGTCACAGTGGACAAACGCATCCGGGTTTTTCCAAACAGGAAACCCTGGATGACGAGTGAAGTCCAGGCTCTGATCAGAGCTCGTAACACTGCCTTCAGGACGGGAGACAGCTCACTGTACAGCATTGCCAGAGCCAACCTGAGGAGAGGCATCCAACATGCCAAGGAGGTCTACAGGAGGAAGATGGAGGGCTACCTCATGGACAATAACCCCCGGCAGATGTGGAAGGGCACCCAGGCTATAACAAACTACAAAGGCCAGAGCCCAACGACCACTGGCAGCTGCAGCACGCTGGCAGAGGAGCTGAACAGCTTCTTTGCCCGCTTTGAGACCACCACACGCATGCACACACTGCCGCCTCACAACCCCAGCACCCCCCCTCTCTCTCTCCAGGAGCATGAGGTGAGGAGGGCACTGAGAGCAGTGAACCCCAGGAAAGCTGCTGGACCTGACGGCATCCCGGGGGCTGTGGTCAAGGCATGCGCAGACCAGCTAGCAGGGATCCTCACCAAGCTGTTCAATCTCTCCCTGACGCATGCCACTGTCCCTTCATGTCTGAAGTCTGCCATCATCATCCCCATTCCCAAAAAACCAGCCATAGACAGCCTCAGTGACTACAGACCCATAGCCCTCACGTCTGTAGTCATGAAGTGTTTTGAGCGGCTAGTCTCTCAGCACATCAGGGACTGCCTTCCTCCTCCTTTGACCCCCACCAGTTCGCTTATAGAGCGAACCGATCTACAGAGGATGCCATCGCCATAACACTTCACAGTGCGCTGAACCATCTGGAGAACCGGAAGAGCTATGTGAGGATGCTCTTCGTGGATTACAGCTCAGCATTTAACACAATCATCCCGGACATATTAGTCACCAAACTGTTCAAACTACAGATCCCCCTCCCCACCTGCACCTGGATTAAACAGTTTCTCACAAACCGCCCACAATCTGTTAGACTTGGCCCCCACCTTTCCTCCACGCTCACACTCAGCACTGGCTCTCCTCAGGGCTGCGTGCTGAGCCCCCTACTGTACGCCCTGTACACTTACGACTGCACTCCGTCCTACCCAAACAACTCCATCATCAAGTTCGCGGACGACACCACCGTGGTTGGGCTCATCTCCGATGGGGATGAGACGGCATACAGGGCTGAGATAGGGAAACTGTCTGTGTGGTGCTCAGAAAACAACCTGTCACTGAACGTCCTTAAGACAAAGGAACTTATTATGGATTTCAGGAGAAACAGACAAGACCACGCCCCTCTCCTCATCAACGGAGAACGTGTGGAAATCGTCACCACCTTCAGGTTTCTGGGCACCCACATCTCTGCGGACCTCTCCTGGACACCCAACACAAGGCCTTAGTGAAGAAGGCCTCTGCGACT